CATCTTTTTTATTTTATAGATAGAATACTCTAGCTCTTCATTAGTGGCACAATCAAACATTTCCATGATTGAACTGTAGCTTATAAATTTGCATTATTTGCTATTTATGATAGAAAATGATGCATAATTTCGATTCATTTCATCAGTGCTTCTTACATGAGAGGTGAGATTTTGTTGATGTTAAAGTCTGATTTGTGTCTTAGATTAATGTTACATGTCACCTAGTAGTGAAGATATTAGTTGCGGCTGGCAAAAGTGGAGCAACATCAAGTTATGAATTTATATGTGATACTATAGGCTTGGTAGGGAAAGTAATCGAAATAACAATATTCTTGGCTGTTGCTGACGTTATATTACTGTAATTTTTTAATAACATGTCGGGTTTAAATATCCGAATAGCTTGCATCAAAATCTCGGCGTAGAATCAATCTTTTGATATTAGTGTGAAAAGTGCTGCGCAGTTTTGATCTTAAAAATTTTCTTGTTTCTACCTCGGTTTATTCTTCTGTATTTTTTTTCCTTTGCATTACTTCTTGGTTTGTTCCTTGGAAAGATATCGCTTTGATTCCCTGAACGAAAATCGATATTTTTTAATACTATCGATATTTTTTAATACTCTTTTCATGTGGTGGCAAATGTTGTTTGTTGTTATGCTCCAGATGATCAAAAACAATTTGTCGCATCAGTTTGTTCCCTTCTCTGTTTCCCATTGGTTGCAGCTTTAATTTCGAATTTTCAATCTGTTAATTGCTGATCATATACATATGTGTTTGTTTGCTCATAGTAAATCATTTTCTTTTCTTCTAATTTAATATTTAATAAAAAGCGTTATTTAAATGACTGGCTTAGTGATTCCTAAATTCCTGTTATACGTGAGGAAAAGAATTACTTAGTTCGAAATAATAACAATACAATATAGCGTATTTTGCATCTCAAATCAGGACCTTTTCTGATAAGAGAATGTCTTTGCAGAATGATTTCGTGGTCAGAGGTCATAGGGTGTTTTTTTAGTTTGAACAGTAGGACGGAAACTTCTGATTTGCTGGTTTATTGGTCAATTTCGAATGATTCCTGTAAACTTCATCCACTGCTGTAGTAACGACAAAATTGGTTACCAGGAGTTGGATCTGCTTTTTGCGCTGACTCACTAACAAGGATTCTTTCGCTAAGCGGTGTAAAGAAAATAGAAATAAAGATATAAAGAAATAAAACTTGATGCATGTTTCAGTCTACATTCTACTAGCTCTTTCTATTGTTATTTTATTGGTATATTGAAATGTGTTTCGAAAGTCCAGTTGGTTTACTTGCATTTCTTAGTAGATAAATTTGGTAGATACATTAGATAAATAAACTTCAGGCTTATCTTTTCTCAAAAATTTCGTGCCTGGAAATTAAGTCATTTATTACAACATCAGAAACATTGTTTATTTCACAGTTTTCCTACCTCCTTAATCCCCAAACGGGATGTGATTTTTTTGTTCTGGCTGAATGATTTTCAGAAAGTTAGCTCTCTAATGTCTTTGTGTAAATGTTTGCATCCAACCTTGCCATCAGTATTAAGGAATTCTATATGTCCTTATGAATTCCTTATGAATTTAAGCAGCAATGACAAGTAAAATTTTTGAGATTCCATTTAGTAATTTCTAAAACGACTCAAAAAAGTCGAATTCGTGCGTCATTCAGTTTCGATTCGCAACACTCGAATTTGTTGTTATTGTATGATTACGTTCCCAAGCGAATCAATAAATCATCAAACTATGCTGATAAGTTGACATTGCTTTGTGTCTGCTAAATTTTTATGCTTCAGCAGTTATCTCTGAAAATGACCTGCAAGTTGTGATGCAATGTATTCATTTTAGGCGAGATTTTTTTGACCGTTTCTCTTCTTGTCAGTATTGCGGAGCTTATAAAGGAGGACGATATTGCCATAGTTCATTTGACTGAAATCGTTATTTTGGAATTCGATTACTGAGCACGGGAATAAGCTGAATTTTGAAAATTTCGGCTCTTACCCCTGCTAGGTACTAATCATCCGAACCTTTTTTCTCCACAATGATTTATATAATTCAACTCCTAATATTAATTTCTTTATTACCTTTTAATATTTATTTTGTAACATCATGCACTGTTGGATGGTTTAAAAATTTCTGGGACCGATAAGAATATTAATGGGGGAGAATGTGAAAGAACAGTAATAATGGTAACCCAAATCCAGGTAAAAAAGGTAGGTGTTGACGAAAGTGTGATAACCCGGGGAGAAATTACTGGAGTATTAGGGTGGGTAAATTTGGATGAGATCGAAAAATAGTTCATAATAATTTCTGAGGATAAAATGTGTTGCATGTTTGGGAGTTCTCGAATGTTAGTTGCATCTTCGCCCAATCTGAATACTCATCCAATATTCCATTTTGACATGTCACAATTCATTAAAAATGTTAGGACAAACATCTCCCGATTCTGTCTGTTGCATTCATCGCCCGTGACAAAACATGGCAGTCATGGGAGACGACGTATTAATACGTGGTTGTTTCATTAATTTTGGCTGTAATCATTCAGAGGAAGAAATCTCTCAATTGTCATTTCGCAAATTAAATAAGGGAGTGATAGACAGATGAATTTTTTTCTAGGGAACTGAGTGGTGCGTGAATGCTTCAACCTACTTAATACCGTTTCAGATAAATCGAAGCATGCACAAGTCGTTTTCCATAGAATGTAGACAGTCAAGTTGCAAGGGGAGTTGGGGGATTGAAATGATAGCTTGAAAAATAAAGTTTCATTACATTTAAGCTCAGGAGTGGAAGGAATGCAGCTCGAAGAAGTTCGTTTTTTTGCGAGTGACGAGTAAGGGATAGGTTTGAAATTCGAGCTAGTTAACTGCTAATGGTTCACTCATCCTTCTTCTTGCTGTATTAAGTTCTATAGCTTAAGCTCCAAGTGAAGCCAGAGTTCGAGCTCATTTGATGTTGTAAAGTGTAGCAACTGCTATTTACTTGCTGTTCCATCTTTTCCTTCATTTTTCCTTTCCTCTTGCACGGATTGTCTTATACAGCTCTGTTTACCATTCTTCGGCTTCTATATCATTTGTTTAAAATTTTTTACTTAAAACTTTAAATGTTTGAATTTTCATGACATCACACTGTATATTTGTAGCGCATTTCATTGATAGCTGTAGTTTTCATTTCTGTATCCACTCATATTTATGTCAGCAAAGGGCTTTCAGTTGTTTCAAACTTGATCTTTTCCTTAATGAAACAAAATAGCTTTTTTCCGTCTTAGTAATTGCTGGAACTAACTTCTCTATCATAGCTGGTGACTAGATTAAACAGAACTCATTCATTGCTGAATAACTGTAGATTTCGGTTGTACGAGGATTTGAGAAAAACTTTAGCAGACTTATTCGAGAAGGGGTGTTAGTGGTTTTATTAGTCACGAAAAAAATGCTTGTTTTCCTGATTGCTTTTTGTTTGTTTACTTCTAATCACACCTCTGTTTTGTGTCATTAGTTGATATGTTATCGACTTGCTTAACCTAAGACGTCATACTGAGTGTCCACTAATATTGTTATATTTTTGTATTTTTACATGAGAAGTAACGTGCGAAAGTGTGAAAAAATGTAGAAAGCATTGAAATGTCGAATAAATGATTGTCGGCGTCAAGATTTGGACACTTCTAGTTTGGAAAGTATTCTATATTATGCTATCCAGTATTTGGTTTTAAACTGATAAATACATCTTGTATATGGGATATCAGTCTACAAAAGCTGCTGTTGTAATCGTGGTATAGCAAAGCAAATTATCAAAATATTTTCATTATTGCAGTCAGTTGTATAGTTATGGACAAGATTTTATTATCCTGGGTTTTACTTTTACTGGATTTGTTAAAGACAAAGTTTCTGCAGGTTATTCTATATTGATAAGATATTCTTGCTTTACTTCCTCCACTTCATGTTGCAATGGTGCGAAATGATTCACGGATTCTTATTTTCATTGCTGGTAAATTGATATTTGATTTAGGTCCTAATGTTCTGAATAGGGAGAAATTCAATTTATGAACAATTTGACACTTCCCTCGAATATCTCATTGGTACCTATCAGCTTTCCCTTTTTGTTTACCAGTTCTTGTCATCGAATAACTTTTCAGCCCAACTTCATACAGTGTTGGACATTCTTTGTTTCTTGTGGCCAACTAGGTTCAATTAGATGAAAATAACTATTTTAGATATGGGACTCAAGCTTGGCCTTGTACACAAATGTTATATGCTTTGATATATTGATAAATAGACATCGCATGCTTTAAGAAGCATCGAAAGATTAATTAGTTTTGTTGTTTTGTTTTACATGAGTTCTTGAAGTTCAAATTCCACTCGATTTATTTAAATATACCTCATATAATCCTTAAAATTTTTTTCATGTTAAGGCCGTTAAGTCAGTGATAAGTAACTGTTATGCTTTTGGTTTTTTTTTTTTTTTTTTTTAATTACTACTCGTGACTTGCATGGCTTACTATTTCCAAGAGAAAGAAGTCTCAGGAAAGAATAAATTTTAATATTTATGACGGCAGTAATAATATTTGATGATAGGGATATTTGATAGTAATTATGTCGTAATCATTTTTCGTCTGAATTTTTGCACTGCTGTTGATGGTTTAGTACTGAAATGGTGTTTCCATTTTAATGGTAACGCTATCATTGATACCATAATCTCAGTAAATGATACTTATTTTTAACAATAACGATGGAGTGAATAGTGTTTATCATATGACTGAATATTAAGCACTACCTCTTCATTTGCATACTATCAATTATTTATGGATGACGATTGACACATGCTCACTGATAATGATAATTATGAGTCAGCATATGTCAATCTATGTTATATGAATCTCACAAATTTTTTTCACCCATGGACAGTAGAAATACCATCTATGCTTCGTCCAAATAACCATACATATGTAAAAGGTGGAAAGGTTTCGCTTCGGTAAATAGATGCTTATCATGCAGTCTAGGCGAAATTTATTTTCCTGTACGAAGCTTTCGTTAGATTCGTTAGATTTGCTTCTGCAACGAGTTTAATTTGATTATTTGCGCAGTTTTGAACTATCTGTGCAGCAGTCATACTCCACTTGATTCTCCTTTCTTCCATTTCTATAAAAATAATTTCTTCATTACAAACTCGTTTTTTAGCATGCAAAATCTTTTCCCATCTCTGAGAAGATAGCGTAAATATGTCCGCTCCTTCTATTCTACTGTAGGCAATGAAGTAAATGAAGTATCCACGCTTCAGTATTTTGCATCACAGGATTCAATTTCGTAGAAACACTGCTTCAGTTTATAAAACCAACTGTTAAATTATGAATTTTTTCCGTTCTAAACTTTATTTATATATTTAAATTCCATCAAAAATTTCCAACAAAATAGATTTGTTTCATTCCAATCACTTTTTATTCCTCTTCCCGCTTCTCTTCCGCAGTACCTCTCCCAAACCATCGTTTAATAATAAGCAAAACCCGTTAACCCTTTTTTTTCCTTCACTGTTTCAGTTGAATAGAATAGTATTCAAGATTCTATTCTCTCCTACTTTCAGGATTACTGGAACTTTCAGACGGACATTGAGAGGTAGTCCTTTTTTTTTTTCTCTGGCATATAGTTCTCTTACCAACTTTAGCTATTGATGGTGGTAATGGTAAAACAGGTAGCGTTAGTTTCCGTTGAATTGCCGCTTTTTTGCCATTGTAATCTCCTAAAATGAACAATAGAAATTCTAATGATAAGATTCCCAGTAGCTTTTTTGCGTTTTTTATTTGCTTCATCTGTTTTTTCCAGTAAAAAATGCCTTCTTTTCTTCGCCTTCTTTCTTCTTTTTCACCTTCTTTTTTCTTTGGAATGGTGAATTCCGTACCGACCACTATGCCCATCCCTGCGAAAAAATTTTGGAGGTTTTGAAAATAATTCTAAAATATTTGGAATATCATTATACTACGCTGTTAATTTCTTTAAAAAAGGGATTAATATTTTTTTAAATTAAATTAGCAGTTTAATATAATGAAATTCCAAATGTCTCACTGCTTAATATTGCGTGTGAAATAGCCATCATTGGTGGGAAAGATTTTTTATGATGGCAAAAAGTTGAATTCTTCATTCTCCGAATACTTTTAAATCTTTTCACCTTTCGCTTTCTCAATAACAGCCAGTTCTTTTTTCTTTTTTTTATTCAATGGAATATTTTTGCATTTAAAGTGGGTATTGTTTGGAAATGTTTAATTTTAGAGATTCCAGACTCATTCCTACTGATTTTAGGAGTTGTTTTCATTTGGTTTACTTTAAAATGCATGCTTACTTACTTAAGACTCTTCACTTCCTCTTCTCAATATTTTGTCTACGATATTTTGATATCCTTCCGTTATGGTAGTAAATTATGTCTTCTGCACTTCCAACAGAAATAGTTTGATTCATGAGAGTGAAGAGAAAGAGAAGAAACAATCAAATATGATGAATGAAGAATTAGACAAAACGGAGATGTAACGAAGGAGACACCGCTGACCTTGACTTCGTTGAGCTTCACGTTTCCATTCATTTTCCTCTTTTTTTCGCACCAACTTGATGAATATATCTTCATTTTTACACTTTAGCTTTCGATTATCGATGAAATGGAACTTTCATTTACAATTTGCAGTTATATCATGCTATATATTGTTTGTAGAGAGTGAAAATGTTAGCAAATAGAGCAAATTCAGTAAACAGATTCAGTATACGTGTTTTTATTAATATAATAATATTGCCACTATAATAACTGAACTATAATTTCGCTTGTTCAGGTGTCCTTGTTTCGTATTTTCTCTGATGATAATTTTGGTTAAAAATTAAAACCGCTACTTTTTACTTTGGTTGAAATGACAGATAAAGCCTCGAGCGGATAGAAAGTGACAAACAAGTGATAAACCATTATTTGTGTACTTTTTCAGACAACGGCAAACGAAATCGTAAATTCACTAGTGTTCATTAATGATATGTGCATATAGACAATGGAAAACGTATGTTTGTTCTTTTTTTTGCTAATTATTTAGCATTAACTGATAAAATCTTATTACTTTTAAATAGAAATCTTGCAAATTAAGCTATCTTACCGATAACTTCTCTGAAAATAATGATACGGGCTGCTGGTCGGTCATTCCAAATCCCGGAGCATAAAGATTAATCGGTGCTCATAGGTAACGATTACGCTGGTTGCACAACCTCAATTGATAAGAGTACTGAACTTGATCCAGTTCGTATCAGTTATTTGATAGGTTAGTCACTTAGTTCGAGCGTTTAGTGAGTGATATCAAATCCTTATTTCGAATGACTAATTCTTTTTTTTAGTTAAAAAGAACTACTGAACATTTTGGAATGTTGTAACAAACTGCATTATCGCCTTTGCCTTTCTTCCCTAAATTTTGTGCATCAATGACAAATAATCCTTCTGTTTCACTTGTCATGCTTTTTTCCTACTATTACCTGACATCGTCTTATTTTTACAATCAAAAGTCTTTTTAATTCAACTAATAATTTACTCATTATAATATGCTTGTATTGCATTTCTCATTATCTGCCCTGTATTATACTGCTAGCTTGAATTACAGTGGCCAAATGTTAAATGCATTAAAAAATTGTAGTGAGGCTATTTATTTGTCTTAGTTTTGGGTTTGGAAAGATGAATAAAGTGAAGCTAATTTCATTGGAAGAATAGATTGTTCAAACTATTGTTTGTTTTGAGATAAGAGATATGATGAGACCTAGGAAGAATGATAGAATGTATCTCACTTTTCAGTATATAGTTAAATGACGGATACCAGCGGAAAAATAACCGAAAAAAGATCGTTTTGATAGGAAAGTATGGTCTCTAAATCCTATGAGGATAAATGGCAGCATTTACATCGCTTTTATACTTGCTGCATTTGCACTGCACTTTAATTCTGTGAAATAGAGCTATAACAAACTGTAATTCATTTTCTTCTTTCTCTGTAAATAACGCGTTGTGCACTTTTAACATAAAATATAAATTAAAATTATATTTACCGAAATATAATTGGTAAGGGGTTATTATGTTGGCAGTGTTATGAAAGATGTATTCCCCTCATGATGCTGAAAAAGCAGGAAGTAATTTATTGTTTTTGTTGCATCCATATTGTCAAGGGTTTGATATGCAATAAGGCATACATTTATGTTTTTGGATAAATGAAATGTAGTGCAGTTGTAGAATCATTTTTCGATTTTTTTTTTTTTTTTTTTACATAATATAAGGAAACACTTTGACATAATATAAGGAAACATTTCTTTGATTACTGCATCGGTGTGAAATCTTTTCCGCCCAGCAAAACAGGGAAAGAAACGCAGGTGAGTCAACGTGAAATTAATTATAAAAGCAAGAGAGGAACGAGGCGAAGACGTTAAATTAAAATTGCAATTTTGGATATGTTGAATCTCGAAGTGTTGAAATACTCCTGCAGAATTATACGAATCAAACTTATCAGCTCACTATATCATTAATGTTGCTATGTAGTTGAAGGTATCTTCCAAGTGGTAAAATATGGTAGAAAATCAGATGGGTTTCACAAAATTGACTACATATCATGGGCTTACATTTCACTACAGAAGAAACCAAACAGATACATTCTAATTATGATAATAATAATGATTAGTAATTATGATATTAACAAACAAGTGTTTTCTTTTTCCATCATTAGAGATATATCTGTTTTATTTTCTGTTCTTTAATATTGGCTTTGTTGGTATTTTGCAGGGGCACCTACCCTCAACAAACACGCCAATCTCACCGCATGCGCAGTCAGAGACATCAAACGCCCCCACAACAAATGGTAAGCCTAATTACTTACATGATGTATTAACATGCCTAACTTACCGCGCTACTGCTGCTTCTCTCCTGCTACCCACTACTGATACTACTACCGCTGCTACCAACACAAGCTCATTCTGTTGCGCAAACCTCATTTACACCGATGATTTGTCATTTAATTGATGACGGAATGATCAGTGAATTTCGTATCTCCTTCTCATCTAATTTTATATGATTGTATCAGTATTTTCAAAATTTTCGAAAAAAAAAAATTCTGTTTCAAATTTTCAAAAAAAAAAATTCTGTTCCAAAAACTTATCAAATTTTGAAAATAGAGACGATAGGGTGAGCATAATTATTAAATTGCAGCGGGGAGAGAAGGGAAGGGAAAGATTGGAGAAAGATATGAATGATTTTACCGCAATGTATTGACTTTAAAGTACCCTTCTTTGAGTTCTACGGATGAACTCCTTCAACGACATATGCGTGAGATAGTATGTTGAAAATGTTGGTCTTCTTGATAAATCAAGTAGACAAAAAAATATTTTGCCTCTTTTGTGATACTGTCTGATTGGACTATTACTTCCTTACATTTAAAGCTAAATATTTGGCAGTTAGCACCAAGTCATTAACTATTGAAGTTATATAAATTGTTGTGTTCCAGCTAATCAATTAACATTAAACCTATCTTTCTTCAAACAAAATTTTTATGTAACATCTGATATAAAACCGAACCGGAGGGCTCACCTCAGAGGCTTAACAATCCGCAGTATCCGGATATCTGATCCTAGCTGGTCATTGCTAGTCTGTATTGTCTTCCCCATATAGTTGTAAACAGTTTGTGCTTGTTAATCGTTGCCGCTATGTTTAACCATGAATGAATATGTATCATTGGAACTCTGCATATCTATCTATTATGAATAGTCTTTTCCAGAGAAAAGGACACTGATGATTTTGGATCTTCCATAAATCAGTTTTAAATTCAATTTCTATTTGAATTCAGGAAAAGTGAGCGGTGGTAGCAAAACACAGTACACATACGAATATTTGGCTCAGTTGCTTAAGGACAAGAAACAACTGGAAGCGTTCCCCAATGTTTTCCATCATCTCGATCGTCTTGCTGAAGAAGGTTTTTTATTTTATTTAAAAGATATGGCTGTTTCGTTTGTTACGCTCACGCATTTCCGATATGTAGTTAGTGCTATTTCGAATCCTTCATTTCCTTTAAGTAATTTTCCTAAATTTGAGAGCGTATTTTCTATACTTGATCGAAAATTGTCATACTAGAAGTTTTAATTTTAAATAAACGAGGGTTTTTTATCTCTCTTTTTTTTAGAAAGTTCAGCATTTGAATTATAAATTTTTGTATACAGAAATCAGCAGAGTGCGAGTTTCGTTATTTCAATTCGAGTTTGCAAAAGATGCAATGTCGAATCTACCAGAACCAGAGGGTGAAGTTACCACCATGACAGAAAAAATATTTGTTCCCGTGAAGGAACATCCTGATGTAAGTGTTATTTTGACTTATAAACAGTTACTGAGACATAATTCATCTGCTTTTCCTGATTACTTTTCATGCATTTTTCGTATACGTATTTGTGTATTTAAGTTTCCTCATAACAATGGCTAATTTTTTTCTTTTTGGAAGTATCATCTTTAGTCGGTTATAAGGTAAAACAATGGTTTGAATTAAGCTTAGGTTCACTTAGTGGTAGATTAACTCACTTCCAATGATATTTGATAAAAAATAATTTATCGGTTTATTTGGACACCATAGGATTGTATCACTTTCAGTTACTAGCAGGCAAACGCTAACGACCAAAATATTCCACTAACACATCTGAATCGTAATCGGAGAGTACTTTGGTCGTTAAAAAAAAAGGAATTTTTGCAATATTTATAACGAAGTCTTAATGACATTAAAGATGGCGTTTGCTTGGAGCTATTGACAGAATTATCAAAGTCATGTTAAGATAACTGTCAAAGCTATTGTTTTGGTTAATTTATACGCTTTTCAGTATAATTTTGTCGGGAGGATATTGGGTCCACGTGGTATGACAGCTAAGCAGCTAGAACAAGAAACTGGCTGTAAAATAATGGTCCGAGGCAAAGGGTCGATGCGCGATAAAGCTAAGGTATGAAGCACTCCTCATTGTGCATAACTTTTTTAGGTTAATAATTTGATACTTCAACTTCTAAAATTTCATAAAATTCGTTAGGTTTTTCAGAAGTCTGTATTTTATTTACGCGTAACTTTCGAAGAATTTTTAGGAAGAAGCAAACCGTGGAAAACCCAACTGGGAACATTTATCAGAAGAGTTACATGTTCTGATACAGTGCGAGGATACACCGAATCGTGCACTTTTAAAACTAAAACGAGCTGCAGCTGAAGTAAAAAAGTTACTTGTGCCCTCGGTGAGTTCATTTTTTCTGGAATTAACGCTATCTATTATGTGGTATGAGAATGTGATTTCAGTTGTTGACGTTACTAATTTTCAATATGAGAATAATGATATTGTTTAACACTGATAGGCGCTCTTGACGATTTTTTCACTTGGCGTTGGTTAACTAATAATCATATGGTAAATTCCCTGTTAGCTTGAATTCCCCAGTTTAAATTCTGCTATGGTTCAACACATCAGTATTGATCAGCTGTAGCTATCCTCTCACTGCTGTGAAATATACAAATCAAATCGATAGAAATATGCTTAACATGAGTCTTAAATCGTTTCACAAATATACTGATATCATCAACCTGCCGCAACTCAACCATCAACCCACGATTGTTTTGTAGTCAGATGATGATGAACTGAAACGCAAACAGCTGATGGAGTTAGCGATCATCAATGGAACTTACCGATCCGGAAGCGTTAACCAAACAGCTGCTGCGCAAGTTGCAGCTGCAGCTGCAGCCAACAAAAATTCCCTGGCTGCTTTGCAAGCTCGCCTGATGGCTCCACTACCTCTTGCTGCTACACAGGTGACCTCATGAATTTTTTGTAAAAGTTATTTGAGTAGCCTTAACCGATCTGCGGTTCCTGCTTTTTTTAGAATTCCCTTGCATCTTTTTAAGCTCATATATGACCTTTATAGCCGAATAATCTCCGATCGCCTGGTTTAACTGGAGCGCCAATTATCCTGTCGCCTTCACGTGGTACTGCACCTACAGCTGCGACCGCGGCGGCCGCAGCTCTCGCAGCACAGTTGCAGGCAGTAGCAAGTCAGCAACAAAATGTTGCAGCTGCGTTCACACAACAAGGACCAGCGGCTGTGGCTGCGTTGCCAGCACAGTTGTTGCAAAATCCGGCATTGGCGCAAAATGAATATGGACAGCTGTACCTTAGGTAAGCTGTCTAACAGTAACTTACATGGTAGATTTATTAAAGCCGTTTCGTTGCCCTCAAAATAATGAACAATATAATGTTGTTTGGTTTTCGGGTGCTAATCTGTTGTGATCGTGCACGGCCTATGAACATTGAAATAACTCAGTAATTTCTAACTTATTTTAGTATTTCCAGCTCATTACCGTACGATCCGTCGGGTGCAGCAGGTTATGGCGCACCAGTAAGCAGCACCGCCGCTACCCTTCAAGCTCAAGCTCAGGTTCAGGCTCAGCAGCAACAGCAGTATGCAGCTGCAGCTGCCGCTGCCATGCTTGGTGCGAATGCATATATCGGCGATTATACATCAGTCGATATATCGCATGCCGGTCAGTGATTGCTTTTTAACTAAGAAGTCAGAAAATGGGGTTTGGTATTCTATAGATGGATGCTGACTTTCGTTATCGATAAGCTTCAAGTCGCGGTGATAAGGAACAATTGTTAACGTTTAAACAACTTGGGATCTCCTTCAAATTACTAGAAATTAATTTGTATAAGCGATGAGAAAAAAATATTAATTTACTTTTCAAACCGCGGAATAATGGAAAGATCAAGGATCAGAGCATTATTATTTCAACCACCAGTTTCCGTTAATTAGTTGAGGTGAAGATAGTCCTTTACA